AGAGAGAGAGAGAGAGGAAGGGGGGACATTATTATAGGAAATAATGGAAGATGGAAGCTGAGAATGAACTAATAATTGGGATGACCATAGGGTTGGCAATGGGCCCGGACCCGAATTGGGTCTACACCTCGGGTCCAGGTATGGGTTAAAAAATTGGACTCGAAGGGATGGGTCTGGGTCCAAATCTTGGACCCTAACACTCTCCGGGCCTGATCGGGTCTAGTCAGGTTCAGGTCCAGTAATATTTTTGAGTCCCAATATATTTAAATATAATTAAATATATAAATATTCTAATTTTTGGGTCGGGTCCAGACCCAATCTAACCCGTTGCCACCCTTGGATGACGATGTTACCCTTCTTGGTGGTCTCGTAGGTTGGATTCATAACTGAAGGAAAGGAGGAAGCAAAGACCAAAGTGGAAAATGGCAATGTGGTGGAGATGTTGCAAACATGGTACTTGGGTGGGAGCAGGGCTGTTTCTCCTACGACAATGGCCTCATTGGCTAATGGCTTGGCAGATTTGATTTCTCAATAATCTCATGGATTGACAGCTGTTTCTCAATAATCTCTCTCTCTCTCTCTCTCTCTCTCTCTTTTCGTTGGTGAGTGCATAAGTAGATCATGGTGTGGCTTTGATCCTAGCTGGAAGCCCTTTTTGTCAAATTGTCTTCCCTTTATGTAGGTCTCAGGTATTGGACCAGTTTTACTTCTGGTTTGTCTGCAAATGAAAATGAATATGTATGTTTTCAAAATATAGATAGTCATTTGGTGGCTTTTCACAGGGGATTGTGTGCTGGAAGACTAAGTTTATTTTTTGTGAAAAAAAGTTCACGATGGCCATCAGTCATCAGATCTTGGGATGTGACACTAAAATTGGAGAAGTCTTCATTTGAACTTTGAACAATGCGCAAAATCTAATGGTTATGGATGATTGAGATATCTTTGTATAAAAAGTAAATGTTTTTATTTAATATTTTTTTTAAAAAAAAAATTGAGCAGTTTGTCGGTCATTTTACCTGAAGAATTATATCCTTACCCTCAGAAATGGCATCTGTCTCCTCCTCCACAACTTCATCCCCCATCATTAGAAATCCTTTGCCAAAGACCAAGCATTTGAGCTTCTTTGATCTCTCTTTGAAGTTTCTCTTCATATCATGGTGTGGGATAGATCTAACCTCTGGTACGCCATTTATAATTTCTGCCATTAGTAGAGCTTAAGGGGTCCCATCTCCATCACCTTGAGCTCAAAAAGCATTAGTAATAAGAAACCATGAAGCCTTCAAGGAAGTGAATCGAAAAATACAAGGAAAAAAATTGAGAGAAAAATAGAGAGAGATTTGCAGAGAAGCAAGGACTAAATGTTTTGAGGTGATTTTAGTACATGGCATTTAAATTTTTTCCATTTTTCAAAAAGGAAATCAAACCAACCAAAACAATATGAAGTTATGAACAAACAAATATAAGAGAACTCCTAGGAGCCAAAACAGATATGACAGTGAAGAAATTATGTGAAGAAAGAATAAGAAGAAAATCGATTGTTGAATTTGAGTTTTGGAGATGTAAATGATGTAATCTGGCCTGTCGATCCCGAGATCTTAGCTCCAATTCCCTATAAAATTAAAGTTTTAAATCATCTCTTTAAAGATGTGGAGATTAACTTGAAACTACCCACTTTATAATTGTCTATTTCACCCTTTCTTAAAATGTATTAATTAAAAATATTTAAGACTATTTCACCTTCATACTTGCCTATTTCTGCACTTGCAAGTCTACTTTCCAAACTCTTCGCAAGTTTCCCGATGTTCAATAGCAACAAGTTCTTTATTTGCAATAGTACCAAGAATAACACGAGAGAATAAAAAATATAACTGAGAGGGAGAGATATGATCAAGGCATTGATGTCATGAAGATGTGCCATGAACAAAGATAACACAAACAGAACGACTTGGCATATGAAGATATTCCAAGTAGCATAGATCTCTACTTTATGACTGATCCAAATTAGCTTCCCTAATTGCTGATCTTGTATGTTACAACTAGAAGGAGAAAATACATTACAATTTGAGTGTGTGATCTGACCAATAGAAAAACGATTCTTCCTAAATGAGGGGACGTGATAGACACGAAATACCCTTAATTTACTATAAAGATCAGAGGTAAGAGAAATAGAGCGATTTTTTTAAACTTTGATAGTGCTCCATTAGCGGTATGAATGGTATCAAAAAAAGGACTTTCATTTAATGAGACACTCCCAAGTCAATCAACCAAAGAGTGGAAACTCGAGACCTTGAGAGCTAGTTGCTACCAGTGTCACTGTCTATGAGCTAGTACTAGCAAAAGACTCTGATTTTTTCTATTGGAACAAGTTAATAATATATATATATATATATATATATATACTATAATATCATATAGTATATTATAATATTA